ATTTTCTTTTAGCTAGGTTATCTTTCGTTAGAATTACTTTATTGTGAAGAAACCACAAAAAGACCTTGATCTTTAGTGGAATTTTTAAGTCCCACAGAATTCTCTTTTTGATCTGAATATTATAATTCATGATCGCGGTATACATAGATTTGACGGAAAATTGACAATTCTTATGGAGCGACCATACAAAGCAGTCCTTTTCATTTGACAGAGTTATATTAGCTAGCCTAAGGATCAAATCGTTCCACTCGATTAGCTTTTGGCCAACAATAGCTCTCTTAAAGGTATTTAGCGGCGTTGTGCTCATGACCTCTACCACAGTAGACTGCTTCTTTCGAGCCACATTATATAATATAGGGTATTGATCTTTGAAAGCACGCGATCCTAACCACGTGTCTTCCCAAAATCTTATGTTTGTCCCATTGCCACATCTAAACGAACCAAACCTAAGAAATTGGTCTTTGACTTTCATTAAACCGGCCCATAACTGAGAAATACTTATCTTGCTGGACATACGAGAAAGAGGTTTATCCTTTAAGTATTTATTTCGCAAAAGGTCTTGCCATAGGCCTTCACCATTAAACAACTGGAAAAGCCAATTGCTTAATAAGCAGCTATTTTTTATATGAAGGTTATGGACACCTAGTCCACCTTGATCTTTTGGTCGGCATATGTTTTCCCACTTAGTTAGTCAGTATTTTCTTTTCCGGTCATCATTACTCCAAAAAAAACGTGACCTAAAGTAATCCAATCTTTGAAGCACACCTCATGGAATTTCAAAGAAGGATAACATAAACAAGGGAAGGCTTGAAAGAACTGTGTTTAGAAGGGTCAATCTCCCACCGTATGACATGTTTTTGCCTTTCCATGTGTTGAGTTTCCTCTCAAATCTATCTTCAACTCCTTTCCAATCAACATTTCGGAGTTTCCGATAATGAATAGGAATACCAAGATATCTAAACAGGAAAGATCCAGAATTACAACCAAATAGTTGTCTATATTAATCCTCCACTTCCTTGGCTTTCCCAAAGCAAAAAATCTCACTTTTATGAAAGTTTATTTTTAGCCCTGATAGTTGTTCGAACACACATAGGATGGATTTCATATTTTTGGCATGTTCAAGGTCATGATCTAGAAAAATTATTGTATCATCAGCATATTGTAGAATGGACAAACCATTGTCCACTAAATGTGGAATGACTCTTCTAATTTGACCATCGCCTTTAGCTCTCTCAATGAGAACCGCTAACATATTAACCACAATATTGAAAAGTATAGGTGACATTGGATCCCCTTGTCGCAGGCCTTTGTGCGTTTGAAAATTATTACCCAAGTCATCATTGACTTTTATACGGACACTTTCTCCTTCAACCATTTTAGAAATCCAATGACACCACTGCTGAGAAAATCCCTTCATGCGTAGTGTTTGTTGGAGGAATTGCCATTTGACTTTATAATAAGCCTTTTCAAAATCAATTTTGAAAATAACCCCATCCATATTTTTCTTGTGCAACTCATGAATAGTCTCATTTAAAATCACCACCCCTTCCATTATATTTCTACCGGGTAAAAAATCCGTTTGGGTTGGGTGAATGACTTTGTGAGCCACCGATGTAATCCTATTAGTGGCAAATTGGCCTATACTGTTGGATTTGTTTTGCATCGGCTCTTTTGGGTAATAAAACAATAATTCCAAAGATCATCCTTGATGACCTCCCAAAAATCTTGATAGAACTCTACAGGAAAAGCATCTGGACCCGGGGCCGAATTATGTTCCATTTCAAAAACTGCTTGTTTGACTTCCTTTTCTAAAAATTCAGCAGTAAAGATGTCATTTTCAAGGTTTGATACTTGTGGGATATCCTGAATCTGTTCCTCCATCAAAGAAACATGATTCACTTCCGTTGGGCCAAATAAACCTTTATAATAATTGGTGATGTACTCTTTGAGATTTTTATCACCGGTTATTATAGCTCCATCCTGCTCCACTTGAAAGATCATTTGTTTACGATGCTTACCATTGGCTAAAAGATGATAGTATTTTGTATTACTATCTCCCTCGAGCAAGTGTTTAGCTTTGGATCGTTGGTACCAATATAGCTCTTCCTCCCGTAGCAGCTTTGCCAAGTCATTTTTGGCTTGCTTCAAAGAAGCTAATTCTGCTGTTGAGAGAACTGAAAATTCAGCTTTTTTGTCTAGCACATCAATGAAAGCCAAAAGGTTTAATTTTTCCTTCTTGTATGCACCACTTGTACTTCGTGCCCAACCTCATAAATGTTGTCTCAAGTGGGCAATCCTATGATTCCAATGCTCCATGGGGGTGTTCCCCTTATTTATGTTGTGCCATTCTTTAGTGACCATTTCATAGAAACCGTCCCGTTGAAGCCAACCCAATTCAAAGCGGAAGAGAGGTTGGTTTCCAAAATGGGCATGTGAACTAGATCTAAGTATAATAGGTGAATGATCTGAAATGGTGCGTGGTAGTGCTTTACATGTTACCAAAGAGAATTTTTGTTCCCATTCAGTGTTCATTAACACTCTATCCAACTTCTCATAAGTTGGATTTTCAAGGTTATTTGCCCAGGTGAATTGCCTCCCCGATAGATCAATTTCTCTCAAATTAAGACTATCGATCACTGCATTAAAAAGAAAAGGCCAACGGGGATCAAAGGGATTATTATTCTTTTCTTCTTGCGACATGATGATATTGAAGTCTCCTCCTACCAAAAGGGGTTGAGACTCATTACTGCAAGTATGCGCTAATTCTGTTAAGAACTGTTCTTTTAAATCGGGTTGCACAGCACCATATACTGCCATTAGAACCCATTTAAAACCATCTTCTTTATTTCTAAGTAGAAATTTCACATAGAAATCTCCCTCTGAAATTGAACCGATATCAAAAACGGCTAAATTAACCCCTAAAAGAATGCCCCCCGACCTCCCAACAGGAGGTTTCTCATGCCATAAAAAATCTTTTCCAACACATAGGTTTCTAAGATTTGCGGGAGTGAATGACTGTTTTCTGGTCTCAAGGATAGCAATAAAATCCAAGTGATGTTCCTTAACACACTCAGAGATAAATCTAAATTTAGCTGGATCACCGAAACCACAACTATTCCAAAAAATTCCTTTCATTTTTTATGTTTGTTGCGTTTCATTTTTGGCTTAGCCAAAGGTGGACATACCACTTTATTTTTGGCATTTGTCAAAATTTTCTTTCTTTGAGGTGCGCTGCATGAATCAAAAGACTCGTCAGCGCTACCCTCACTCTCTTCTTGCCAATCACTACATAAGTACTGGATAGAAGATAATTTTAAAAGCTCATCCTTGTCATTATCTACATTACTAGAAGAACCATTGTAAACAGAAGAACTAGCATGTAGAACTACAAATCTATCAACTTCAGAAATTTTTGTACCATAAATAGACTCATCTACTTCTATGTCATTTCTACCTAGGGAAACTCCTAGCTTAGAAATATTTGCAAGTAGAATTTTGTTAGACAAAGATAGAATTGAACTTGTAGGGTCGAATTTGTTACCTGCTACCACTTCGAGGTTATGAATCTTTTTTAGAAACTCTGCTCGGTTTGCCACCGGTGCATCCACGTTTGCCATTGCCTTCTGTCGTTCACTTTGACGTGTTGGTGTAGGATCAATCAGTCGACGAGGGCGCCGTTTAGCTTCTTGAGAGGGATGCTTCCCACCTGCTTCTGCTTGTACCTTTGCTTCAGCGATGATGGTGCGTGCTGCTTAAAGTGTATACCCCGAAATACACTAATTCGAAACTCAGGGTATTACAATTGGAGATCAAATGTATACTTACATAGGATAAGTTATAGATATCAAATTTGAACTTGCATGTTTGTCATGAGACGTATCACATACTAATCTATATTATCGGACTTTTTTTTATAATTATTTAGGTAATATGCGAGAAACGAGGGGATATCCACTCATGAAAAAAACACTTTCCCATGCTTATACTGGTCATCATAACCAGTCTGAAATTAAGGAAAGGTTGAGAATAGAACAATTAAAAAATCCCTCCTAACTCAACTCTAAATTAAGTAGTAAAAAGTCCACGTCCTATGAGCCAAGAAGCAACTAAGCAAGTTCCTAGTCTGTTACAAACATGAGCCGGGGTCGACCTACCCACTTTAAGCACAAGTTTAGCGTAGCTTACGGCCTGTTCACTTTGATACCATTTTCAACCATACCATTTTTGGTAAAGTTGCCAAAAAAAGTCTATGTTTAATTTGTTGCTAAATTTAGTCAATACATAAGAAATCCTGTCAAAATTTTAACAATATTGCCATCTTGCTAAAATTTTGGTATTGCCAAAACTTGGTAAGGTTTATTTTGGCTACAATCTGAATAGGCCCTTATTAATTTCACCGTGTTATTAAAAAATATTTCACATGGTTCACCCTTGATAAAATTTGTTTGAAAAAAAATGTTCCGGATGTTTGACAATAAGAGAAAAATGTTTCAGCGCTCAAGTATAATTGTTTCATCTAAATACACCATTCAAAAGTATCGATTGCAATAAAAAAATCAATGCGTGCAACATTGAATCAAAACGGAATAAAACATCTTAATATAATAATTAATATAATAAAGTGCAACAAAAATACAAATGAGATGCAACATCACCAAAATTTCCATGAAAACCCACCTCTAACTTGTTCACTTCCAACCATCGAAACCAAGCGACTGGTAGAGAGACAAGCGAGATATATAATGACGTAGAAGAGAATGAAGGCATGCAGAGACTTCAGATGGGTGACCCCGCTAGGGCCAGCCACATTGGCATCCAGTCCAGCGTCTCCTTCGCCTCGCACTGCTCTACCGCCTGTTGGCGATAGCAAAAACTCCGATCAAACACCTTGCGGGCAGACTGTTCACGTCCGGCACGACAAGAACTGCAGCGGCAACAACGAACAGAGCAGCAAAACAGAGCAGACGAGAAGTTTCAGAGAACGAATTCTTGCGAGAATGTATGGGGCAATTTTCTGGGGTTTTTCTCATTCAACTGAATGTAAACCTTACAACTGAAATAAAGAGCTAAGACAACTACTTATACTCAACAAACAAATTTGGAATCCGAGGCTAAAATCGCGCCATCCCACGATCCGCTTTTTCTGAACTCCACGCACACACGCACGCCACTCCCAGCGCTCGACTCGGTCACGATCAACTGATTCGCGACTTATTTGCATCTCTAACAAACTCCTGCTAGACTAATTCGTCCTCCCGATCAGCTCCGAGAGAATCGGCTTGCATTGGGCCACAGCTGAAATAAATCAACACCGCCGGCAGAGTGCTAGCACCTCATCCTGTCCTCCCTTTCGCCTCAGCATCCCCCGCCGTCACCAGCAGTGTCATCGGCGTCGGGCGTCCTCCTTCCTCTTCTGTTGCCCCGTCGCCACCCGCGTAGCCGCCGGCAACCTCCTCCCTCTTCACATCTCGGTGGGCGTGGCGATGATGGTGATGCCATCCTGTGCTTCCTATGAGCGCAAAAAAAACGATGAGCTGAAAATAAGAGGATAAGGTTGTAGGATATGGATTGAATCGACTGTGAACCTCACCTTAATTATATGACCATCCGACGTTTGGTCTTGCATCGAACGCTCGGTCAAGATGTATGTCCCTTACAATAGTAGCTCTTCATGGTATAGATGGCCTGGAGAAGAAGGCAGACTAACCCAAGCGTGGCGGCAAGAAGCGCGACCACCAGCATCGGGTTGCGATGCGGCAGTGTCACGCAGTTCCTAGTGTGTTGCACCATGAGGCGGCTGTTGTAGATTCGCTCGAGATCATTCCTCTCCTTGTGCAGGTAGTTGTGTTTGGGCTCGTCCATGCCGATGGTGATGCCGACGCAGAGGCCGGCGAACATCACGGCGACGTCGCTGTCGCTGGGCAGGAGGTGCACGATGATCCCCTTCCTCGCGAGCAGCGCGACGTCGCCGGGCGTTCCGGCGAGCTGCGAGAGGAAGACGCAGTACGCCGTGACGTGGCTGCCGAGCTGGTCTGGGTTGTGCTGCTCCAGCATCATCAGGTTTCGCAGGAGGGCGTACGTGTTCGTGTCCACCACAAGCGACGGCACGCGCAGCGTGGCGCCGTCGAGCTTCACGTCCAGGATGCAGCTGGAGCCATCGAACTTCCTGAACCGCACGCCAGCGGCGTCGTACTGCGTCGCTGGGCGCCAGCGGTAGAAACCGGGCGTGGATGCGCAGCTGACGACGACATGCGCAGCGGCGCCCTTGGTAGGCTTCTCGCTGCCCCACTCGGCGGTGGGCTGGAGGCGCGTGTGCAGCAAGTGAAGCAAGTGCCAGGGGCTCGCGTGAACATCGAGTGCGTGCACCCTGGAGTAGCTCAGGTTCTCGAGCAGATCCCCGACGTGGGTTACCAACACGTCGGCGACCGCCGTGCACGAGCGGATGATCTTACCATGGAGCACCTTGTGGATCTCGTCGAGGACACAGAAGGGTATCTGGTTATCCAGGCGGTAGAACACGTCGCGCACCAATTCCATGTTCTGCATCGCACTCCCGTTCTGCGCCCCGTCGTCTGAAGTGCTGGGGCAGCAGGAGTGAGGCAGCACGAACTTGCCAAGGATGTAGCACCCGTCGATTACCAGCATCTGCACGAACTCCGAACTGCTCATGCTCTCGGCGCGGTCGAGGTAATGGTCCCTTGCTTCGTTTTCGAGGGCTTTGATCGCGTCCATTAATCTGGTCAGCACTGCAGCCTTGTGTTGCTCGTCCACCTGGGTCAATATGCTGTAGAGCATCGCCTTCTTCTCCTCCTCCATCTGGCGGTAGAAGGGATTGTGGTGGTTAGGGCCGATGCACATCGCAGCCGGCCTGTCTCTCTGATCAAGCGACGGAATCTTGCATCCCGATCGGCTCTTCGCTCCCTCGGCACGCTGCCAGCAGATCGTCACATCCTTTACCAGAGATTCGATGTCAATTGTCATTTTATCATTTCCTGAAATTTTCATCCAGTAGTCAGGGTGCGATCATTATATATGCTACAAGAATCTATTATTTTCATAACGGCCAAACACCGCCAAGGATAACACAAAACCGTGAAGGAATTATATTTCGATGACCAATCGTAAAGTGAAAACCATCAAATCTAGTGCATCAGGGAAATCCAGATTTTTTGGGTGCTAACCGTGAGCGAAAATTTTCTTGGCTGACTGTAGTGACAGAACTACGGTTTGCTAGACGATGCGTGCAATATAGTTCACGAAATAGACTTGTATAAACAAGTCTATCTATTATATTATCTACTTGAAAGTCCATTACACATCCCATTTATACTCCTAAACCATCACGTGGTATCCTACGAAGACTCATGAACCGTCACATAACATTCTAATAAATTAGATATAATTTTTAAAAGTTATAAGATGAAAACAACATATATTTTAATTAAGTAGACCCATTATTTACACCCACTAAAATAATAAAAATACACCTCGCAAACCTAGCCCCACCCAAACCCTATACGTGGATGTATTGTACGTACATAACGTACGCCCCACTCCCTCAATCCCATCCTCATCTTTTCCTCCAATTATCTCTCCTATTTTCATACTATATTAATAAATTAGAAATCAAAATTTGTGTAAAAGTATTAAACAACTATAACATATAAATCTTGATCCGTTTATGTCTTTAAATTAGTTGAGATTAAATTTATAATTAAAGAATCCATATTAACTAGAATTAGACTTTGAAAAGAAATATATCAGTTTTGGTTATATTTTCTAACTTTTGTATACTATTTAAAAATCTGTAAAGATTATAAATTATTGATGTAGATTTTATCATTTTACATAATTAACATCACAATAATCACATTAGATCTCGAATGATAAAAGTAAAATGGATTCATTATTACAACCATCATATATCATATCAATTATAAAGGAAAAAAACTCGACCTCCCAAACCTACCCCACCTGGGCTCTATACGTGGACATACATATATGTAGCTAACATAAGTGAAAATTTAAAAAAATATATATAGACCATATCACTGTATATCCATTATCAGTTCACAAATATGCACAATTAAATTAGATCGACAATAACAAGTAGCTCATATGCTGGCATTTTGGTTATGAAAAGTCATTTAAAAATAATGATATGGACTATATGATCATAAGAATATGCTTAAAATGTGGGGACTATTCTATTCGGTGATTCGGCGCATAAAGAAGTAACCTAAAGTATCCGAAGTATAGGCCATTTGTTTTGTCCTCTTTGATTTCCATTAAAATCACATGGTATATGAGTATTTCATACTAATTAATTAGGGAAAATGATATTAAACTTATATATGAAATAATAATAGACGTTATCAAAATAAGAATCGACCTAACTAAATTGTACTTAATCGACGGTGCCTAACATTTATAAATGTTCCACATATACTTAATTCAAAAGTAAGATATGCTAAATATTAAGAACAGTTCGGATATATAAAGCATACCTAATACTTTGGGTTAGGCTCAACGGGACCCACCATCACTACTGGAGAAACCATCCTTCGTAGGTTGGCCAAAAACCATAATTGTCCCGATTGCTCAAAAACCGTGACTAAAAACCATTTTTCATCCCGGATCAAAATGTTACCAACCGGGACTAAAGATCATTATTAGTCACGGTTCAATAAATGGTAGACGGTGTCAGACCTCTCTACTATCTTTAGTCCCGGTTGGTAACACCGGATGGGAGGTCGGCCGACGACGGCCGGGCGCGGGGCAGCGGCCTCACCCTCCCATCTGCCAAATCTGGCTAGAGGGGAGGCGGCGGGAAGGGTGGCTGACCGGTGGCAGGATGGGAGGCCGGCCAGTGGCCGGGTGGCACGATGTGGGTTTTGATCTGTTTAAGTTTTTCTTGATTTTTTTTATGATTTGTGGATGTTGTTGATTTGTGAATGTATATATGAATGTGTTTGTGAATATTTCTGTGAATAAATTTGTGATGATGTGATGTGAACAAATTTGTGATGTTGTGAATGAATTTGTGATGATCTGAGTGAATGAATTTGTGATGTTGTGGATGAATTTGTGATATTTGTGGATGAATCAATATGAAAGGAGGAAAAGAAGAGAAAAAACCAAGGAGGAAAAAAGAAAAAAAAACATTTGTCCCGGTTGGTAACACCAACCGGGACTAAAGATGGTTGATCTTTAGTCTCGATTGGTGTTAACAACCAGGACTAAAGATGCATCTTTACTCCCGGGTATTTCAACCGGGACTAAAGACCATGGCTAAAGGGGATTGCAAGCCGGGATTAAAAAGGGTTTTCACAGCAGTACATATACTAAGTTTTACAAAGAATCATAGCTTAAATATGAAAGGTGTTCCGTATAAGGAAAGAGAACCGGAGTCCTACTTGGAAATGACAAGGACTACTTGATCGTATCCATACTCGGTTCCCTAGTTCTACTTGGACACAGGGGCACCGAGGGTATAAATACAAGAGCCTATAGGAGGAGAGGGGAGAGGTTAGTACAAACGGAAATACATATCTAGATAAGCCCTATCTGGATGTACAAAGGCCAACTTGAAGGATCTAGAGCTACCTCCAATCTCGCTGAGTTCATGTTCGAGGAATAAGACTACACAAGCTGTTGACTACGTCTAAGAGGTCCATGCCGCCAAACCGACAAAGACTAGATTACATTATCCCACATATTGTAGTCACATGATACTGATATATAAAAGCAACACCGGCTTCAGCCAATAGGAGTAGGGCTACTACCTGTCAATTAAGGGGCCAAAAGTGTCAATCCTGGTTCTAACGATCCCCATACTCTACAAATACCATAGGCGGGTATAGCCCTGCCAACAGTGGCACACCAGGTGGGGGACTTGGTTCTTCAAGGTTTTGACAAGATGGGTTCAAATGATGGATCCTATGACAAAAAAAAACTCTTCGATGACTTCAGACCTAGGAAATATGACCCGAGCAAAGTGTGTTTCCCTCCAAATCGGAACCATCCCCATCTTGATCAAGACATTGCCGCAGTGGATCTTTCGACGGTGGATACTTCGATAACATTGGATCATAAGACCTGACTTGACCGGAACCATCGTCATCCAACAATTTGATCTATCAAGATCAACAACACATCAAGATGTTGCTGCCATGGAGAACAATGATTCATATTGTCGACCATGAAACCTCAGCCTGGACCGACTACTTTCGCACCGACGTCATTGCACAAATTTGACTGGACCAATCTGGTCGACTACATGATCGATGTGTTTTCGTCAGCCTAGTTCAATCAAAATCAGACCGAAGAACTATACCCGATGTTAGTTAGCCAGATTCCTACTTGGGTACATCTACGTACACGACATATTTTTCCGACACATTGACACATCTGTCCATGTATGGTCATATAAAAGAGGATGATCAACTACATACATTAGTATACAACGTGACACACATGTCATCCAAAGTAATTACCAAGATTAAATTTTAAGTTAATCTGCTAATTCCGTAGATATATCGATCCCACATATATTTACACAAGTACCCGATATTGTCTATTTTATATTACCTTCTAGAAAATATTTTAGAAATAATCGGACATTCTTGTAGGCAACTTTCGATTACACGCCTCATTGCCGAGATCGTTCTTGAATAAATACGGAGTTGTTGGACCAAACCTATTAGCAACGACCAACGGCCTATCTCACATCTAATACCGGTCAAGCGTGGTCTACATGTGAAAATGTTGCTAGCTACAATCTCCTCGCGAACGTTGTCGACTTGATCACCTAACATGATTGTGAAGGGATGTCCCATATGCTTGTAAGTCAAATATGTCAAGTAATACTGGCCACATGAGATGCACAAGTAATAATAGACCCAAGCGCTAAACACCTCGACAAGTGGTCGAGGTATGACTACAACTGATCTTCGACCAGCAGAGTACCGATCCTCCCACCACGTCTACGAATGGTCGAGGTATGACTACACACCTGGTCCTCGACTAGCGTAGTAGCGATCCTCCGAACACATCAATGAGTGGTCGAGGTACGACTACACACTTGGTCCTTGACTAGCGTGGTAGAGATCCACCCAATACATCTACGAGTGGTCGAAGTATGACTACACATGGTCCTCGACTATTATAGTGGCGATCCTCCCACCAAGTCTACGTGTAGTTGAGGTTCGATTATACACCTTGTCCTCGACCAGCGTAGTAACAAACGAGTGGTCGAGGTATGACTACACTCCTGATCCTCGACCAGCATGGTAGGGATCCTCCCACGTCTACGAGTGGTCGAGGTATGACTACATACCCGGTCCTCGACCAACGTGGTAGCGATCCTTCCAACACATCATAGGAGTGGTCAAGCTACAACTTACAGACCTGGTCCTCAACTAGTATCGTAGCGATCCTCCCACCACATCTACGAGTAGTCGAGGTACAACTACACACATGGTCCTCGACCAGTGTAGTAGCGATCGATCCTCCCACCACCTCTACGAGTGGGCGAGGTACAACTACCCACTTGGTCCTCGACCAGCATACTGGCGATCCTCCGACCACATCTACAACCGGGCGAGGTGCGACTATACATCTAGTCCTTGACCAACATAGTAGCGATCCTCTCACCACCTCTGCGATTGTTTAGTATATCCACTCGGTTCTCGCTCAACTAGTGTGTGTAGTGATTCTTCCATCCCCATCATTTATCTATGTAAGTTTTCTTCTTTTTCTTATATCGCTACTGGTTGGAGTCGTTTTTTATTGTCCTATTACGTTACGTCTATGTAATTGCAGGGTCTTAGAACCTTGGCCGGGGACACTTAGTACTATTGGATTAGTTAGATGCCATGGGTTACGCGGTCGAGAACGCTAGTCCAATCATTTGCGTTAAGGTCAGAGAGCATTGTCAGTGTTATGGATAAGGCATACCTAATACTTTTTCGTTAGGCTTGGCGGGGCCCAC